ACCTGGAGCTGGGCTGCCATGAGTGGCTGGTGATGGCATAGGCTGCAGTGGGCTGCCATGAGCTACCGTGAGTGGCCGGCAGCCGGCGTGAGCTGCTGTCCAATCGCCGGTGACCAACTGCCTCACCCGGGAAGAGCGCAATGATCATAATACCAACATGGGCCAGTGAAGCGACATCCTCCACTAGACTAAAGAACAAAAGGACAGCAATTTGTCTGTTCCCCTTCCGTTTCCCCAGCGCTGTTCCCCTGCCCCAATTCCCCAATAAAATCTTAAAAAAAAAAAATTGTTGCAACTGATATAATGTCATAGATCAGTGACGATAATACTGAATTTTCTTTTTCATTGACTATGCATTGGGATATCTTATTATAATCTGCTGATGTGATGTGTTCATTCATAAAGATAGCAGATAATGTGAGAGGAGACAGTGCTAGGCTGGTCCTGGACCTTTCCCTAACTGTTTCACTCTCTTGGGCAGATAGATCATTTCTATGGGCTTCATATTTCTTGCCCAGAAGTAGGAGCTGGACCAAATGAGTTTTAAGATTTTTCTTCTGGTTTTAAGATTCTAGGATTGTGATATTTCTTGTGTTTGATTATAGGATATTAGTTGATCAGCAAATTTGGAAAATAGAACGTGTCTTCACATTACAAGCTGTGATGAAATGTATTGGAAAAGATGCACCAGTTGCTCTTAAAAGGAAACTGGAGGTAAACCTGAATTTTCTCTAGTGGGTAAGATTTGAAAAATAAATTTCTTGTGAACTACTATCACTTCCTAACGTCAATTTTTTAGGAGGACATTGTGTGCTTTTGGGTTTAACTCTGCTAAAGTGAAATAATAGAAGTAGATTTATGTTTATTTCTCTATATAAATATACCTATGTTTAACTTATATATCTATTTGAGTCATAAAAGTTTAATTTATTTTGCCGCAAATGATAAATTTGATCTTGTTTTTCTTTAGATGAAAGCCTTGAAGGAATTAGACAGATTTTCCATTTTGAATAGCCAGCGCATGTTTGAGGTCCTAGCCGCCATGAATCATCGTTCTATTATACTTCTGAATGAATGCAGTAAGAAGTTCCTAGGTAAGGGGAATTTTTCTTTAACGATTTTTAGCATCTGACCTGCTGTTCTGGTCTATATTTGTTTTGTTTGTTTTAAGAACTTTGCTGTTACTATGTGAAAAATGTCTGATGATGTGATTAGATCTAAATTTTACTTTTGCATGTAGTTTTTTTTTTTTACAAAATACAGAGCTTTATTTATGTTTTTTTTAACAAAACAAAAGTAATTGAGTATAGAGTATCTTGGATCTTACATTCAAAACCATCTGGTAATTTTGTTTGTTTATTTAACTCATTCTTAAAGGTAATATCCATGGGTGNAGCTCTTTCTTTCCTTTTGCTATGTTTGAAAATTTATGAAAGCTTGCTCCATTTTTCTTTCCAGTGTTGAGTAATAGTAATAAGCTAAAGTGAGAGAAACAAAATATACAAGAAACGTTGCGTAGTTGAAGGAAGAAGAGAAGTGAAGGAAACTAATATTTATTGACTACCTACACCTTTTACTTATATAATCATATTTAATCCTTTCAACAGTTTTGCAGGTGAGGAAACAGACTTAGCGATGTTAATTAAGCAAGATGGCTGATGTCACAGAGCTAATAGATTCATGCAGTGAACATTTATTGGGTGCCAACTATGAATCAGTACTGCACTTATCACTAGAGATATAAAGATATAGAAGGTATAATTCCTGCTCTTATAATCTAAAGGGAAGACATATTTTGTAGGCAATTACAAAAATAACATTCATTTACTGTCATCTATTTACAGTGTTTCAGGTACAGTACTGAGCACACGGGAATATAATTGTGAACAAAACAGTGGCCACGTAGAACTTTCAGTGCAATGAAACAAAAATATAGAATCTTATGAGAGTGTATAATGGGCGTCCAGCCTAGTCAGGAGAAGGCCTTTATGATGGGGAACGGAGATGTGGGAGAAGGATACGAGGTTCGTGTTTGAGGCAGAGACATGTTTAAAAATAGAATTGCCTCATGTAATCCTCAACATAGCCTTTTGGAATAAGTATTGTTACTCTCATCTTACTCATCATTAAAAAATTTAGGCTTGTAGAGGTTAAATAACTTGCCTAAGGTTACATATCTTTAATGTCACTATTTGTAGGTACTTGATAAATATTTGCTGAGTGAATGAACAAACACCTAGACCATGGTAGAACTAGGATTCAAGCCCAGTGGGAGGTGATGTCTAAGGTGAATCCAAGGAATAAACAGCAGTTTGTGAGAGATCAATAGTGAAGGGGATGGTGTTTTAATCAGAAGATTGTGTGTTCATTCCAGAGCAAAAGTTTGGCAAGTTTGGGGAGCTGACGGTAGTTTGGTATGGCTGAAGTACTGAACGTTGGGGTTGTGTGTTTGAGGGAATGGGAGGAAATTATGTATGTGGTGGTCAAGGAGGAGGGGTTGGGGGTGTAATGGCAAGACATGAGGCTGGAGAAAAGGGGCTGAATCATAAAGGGCCTTTCGTGCCTAGCTTAGGAGTTTGGATTTATCCTATAGGCAATGAAGATCCATTGAAGCATTTTAAGCAAAGGGCCAATGTGATCAAATTTGTACTTTAGATCATTGTATGAGTGGAAAATGGATTGGATGAGGGGTGAAATTAGGTGGAGGAGCCTCTTTTAATTTCACACAAGGGAGTCAGTATCCTGTTTGATGTCACTGAAACTGCACCAGATGTGATGAGGGAAGGATAGCTTATTAAAGTAATCATTTGCCTTTTAAGAGTGGACACTTCAGACTTCTAAACTCAGGAATCATAATGAAATAATTTTTAAAAAGACAAATCTCCTGAGAATGATCTGACGTATATCCTATTCTATAGAATTCGGGGGGGGGGGTGTCTGTCGCCCAGCAGGGACAGTTAGGTGTTGGGGTACACGATCATACGTTGCCTTTAAAAGCTCTGTGGTATACCCAGCTCCTCTCCCTGCACCTAAGAAAACTAGTCATTCTCTTCGGTAGGCTTTCTTTTCCCTACAGGGATCTGTTCTACCACGGCTGCGAGTGTACGCTTTTTGACCTATGAAGGATCCGTCAAATCTCGCGATAGGAGCAGCTCGAGGGGACGGTGTCATGGCTGCGCTTGTATGTAACCACGGGGTTCTGACCCAAGGTGAGTGGAGGACGAGCATCGGTGAAACAGTTGGCGGTACCACATTTTAGACTTATTGCCTTTCGGGAAAAGGTCTCAGGAGTTGCCCGGGCATTAAGTTTAGGGAGGTGCGTTAATACGAGGTGGCCCAGCCGCGGAGCGACGGGCTCCTGACGCTGGTTTGGAAACCTGGTGAGGCTGGCTGGTTGTGTCGCCCTCCCAAAACGCAGGCCACATGCAAACATCAAGTTAGTTTGCTGCTTCATCTCTTGAGCCATTCTACTTGTTTAAGTCCCTATTCTTAATAGCCCAGGTTCTGCTGCTGCTAAATCCTNCAGCCAAATTTATTCTACTTATTGGTTAGGGTTTCATTTGTTCTACTAGGTATTAGGAGAAAAAAATAATGTTTTGAGGCTTATAAGTGGGAATTAATTTTATTAGTAGTAAAATATCAGTAGTACATAAGCATTTATTACTGGAAGCCTATCTGATATACTAGCTAATATTAATAAAATTAAAACACAATTTTGTGCATGTGTAAGTTCAACAAATAGTAAAGGCTTCTTACCTCCCAAACTTGTGGATGTTGTGTAATTTTAAATATCTGAAAATCAGGAAGATTCTTTTGTAAATAGTCTGCCAGAAGTTCTGCTTTAGCATAATATGGGCAATCTGCTCTACCTGAAAGAGTTCAAATTAGCAATGTTTTCTTTCATCATACAGAAATTATCATGTGGTCATAAGTATTTGCCATATAATTACAGAATTAATCATACAGTTATATTTGATAACATAAAATTAGTATAGTATAAACTACATAAACTTTTGATTTTTATTATATTGGTAAAAATAAAACAGATTTCATAGGAGGCCAGAATTTTAAGTAATAAAATGTGGAAAGGAAAAAAGAATATTGAATATTCACTCTCCTCCAGCACTATGTTAGACCTCACTTCTCTAAGAGGTTTCCATGCTACTAATTAAACATGAACTACTAGCAATGAACTATTCATTAGTAGCCATGAAAAGGCTAAGTGATGTGAGCAGTGGTAGTAGAATCACATGTGGATTTGATGTATGTGGCAGGGAGTATCGGGGCAACAAGAAGCTGAGGGAGACAGAAGAGTCTGGAATAACTTCTGCTTTCTGGCTTGGGTAGATGATCCTGAGCTTACAAGACAGAAATCATGGGTGAGATGTTAAATTATAGACAAGTCCAGTCGGAGGAATGTGTAGTACATCTAAGTGGATGTGACCAGCAGGTAGCTATATGTATAAGCCTGAAGGACAAGCCCCATGTAAGGGCTTAAGATTTGGGTTTTGCAGCCATCAACACACAGGAGATTAAAGCCACCAAAGTGTATAGGATTGGTGTCTGATAGCCAGGAGTCAAGTGCAGAATCCTCTCTATAGCATTCTTCCCCAGTTACCTCCAATCACCCAATCACCAGTTCTTCAACCTCATGGTCTCAACAATCCCTCTCAACCTCTAGCTGTATAATTCAAATCCATAGTTCATGAATCCAAACTACACTCTAGCTCATCTTAAATTATCTTGCCCCACTGCACTTCTGGAAAATCAGCCTGATAAAAACTCTTCACCCTGGAGGAACCCAATCACTGGCCTTTTGTGTGCCTGGGTCCCATCTGTTAGGTACCTCCAGAGAAACGTGCCAGAACCAAGCAGAGAGGCACCATTATAAATTCATGGTGACCGGCCTCAACTGGCCCTCAACTCTGCCTATAGATCCTTATTTCAGCACTCAATTCTGTTCTCCACAATTACTGTTCCAAACTTGTCTACGTCCTTCAAAACTCTTCCTTCTCTCCAATATTTTTCCACACCACCAGAAGACAACAGACAACCTTGCCCTCTATTGTATAAAAATGAAACCAATTCATACAAAAAGGCATCAACTGAGAAACCCCCAACCTCTGCCATCACACCTACAAGTCTGTCTACATTCGGACTCATCCTTTCCTCTTTCTCCTCTTCAATGGAAGAGCGATCCTACCTTCTGTCCAGGTCTAATCTTACCACTCATGCTTTGAATACCACCCACTTCTGTCTTCAGAATTGCCATTAATTCTGTTCAGTTGGTTATACCATTTTTCTAGCATCTTATCTGTTTCAAATGACACTGTACCATCCTATTTAAATATACTTGTTATATTTAAGTTTCTCCTGTCCTAAAAACCAAAAGGCCCACATCCCCCATCTGCCTTCCACCTGAATTTTTCTATTAAAACTTCTATTCTTTCTTATTAAAACTTGAAAGAGTTCTCTACACTTGCCATCCCCAGTTATTCACTTCCATTTATTTTTCATCCCACTGCAATCTGGCTTTTCCCTTAAGTCTTCAGAAGGTCATCAAGGACGTCCATGTCACTAAATCCAATGGGTACTTTTTGATCCTTTACTTGTTGATCCTTGCAGCATCTGCCCCCCTTCTATCCTTTTGAAGCATCCACTATGCTGTGGGTATTCTTCAGGTTTTCTTTCTACATCTCTGGTCACTCCTGACTATACTTTGTAGGTTCTTATTCCTTTATCAATCCATTAAAAATTAGTCATTCTGCAAGGCTTCTTATCTTCATATCTTACACATTCTTCCTGGCCAATCTCCTCCACTCTCTTGGTTTCAAGCAGTAATTTGTATTTCCAGTTCAGACCTACCTCCTTATTCAGTATATACTCTCCTGTATTTTTTTTCATCTTCTTCTGAATGTCCCATAGGCACTGAGCATGTCTATGAAGGACTTTGCCACCACTCTCCCACTAAATCTGTTCCTTCGCTTATGTCCTTTATGTCCATCTACCCAGTTATCTAAGAGTAGTAAGAGTATCCAGAGTACTACGCCCACTCTTCTGCTTTTCTTCAATAACTCCTTATCTACCCAGTTAACCAAATCACTGCTTGGGAATAATTTTAACTTTTTCTTCTCTATCACTTGCCTTCCTCCACGTAATCAGACATCTAGTTCTACGGATTTGCCTCCATAACATCTCTCCAATCCACTCCTTTCCATTTCCATTGTCTACCATCCTAGGCCAGGCCACCATTATCTCCTTCCTGGACTATAGCACCAGTCTCCTAAATGGACTCTTGGCATCCTGTCTTTCACTTCCCACACTGCAGTGATAACATTCACATAAAATGCCAATTTGATTATGTTCCCCCTTCTAAACACCTTCCACCTT